TGCATTGTGGTCTGATAGAATGCATGGAATTATTTCACTCTTTTTGTATTTGTTGAGGCTTGTTTTGTGCCCCTGTATATTGTCGATTTTGGAGAAAGTTCCATGGGGTGCTGAATACAAAGTATATTCTTGGGTGCTTGGGTGAAATATTTGGTAGATGTCTGTTAGGCCCATTTGATATATGGTATTGTTTGGTTCAGATGTCTCTCTGTTAATTCTCTGTCCTGTTGACCTATCTAATGGAGACAGTGGGGTATTGAAGTCCTCTACCGTTAATGAGTTGAGATTAATCTGAGTCTTAAAGTCCTGTAGTACTGTTTTTATGAAGTTGAGTTAACCATAGTTTGGTGAATGTATGTTCATGATTGTAATATCTTCTTGGACAATTGTTCCTTTGATCAGAATGAAGTGGCCCTCTTTATCTCTTCTGATTAGCTTTAGTTTGAAGTCTATTTTGTCAGATATTAAAATTGCAATTCCTGCTTTTTTCTTAGTACCATTTGCTTGGAATATTTTCTTTCCATCCTTCTACATTAAGGTAGTGTCTGTCCTTGAAGGTAAAATGGGTTTCTTGCAGACATGACAAGCATGGGTTTTGTTTCTTTAAAAATATTTTATTATTTTTATTTTATGTGTATTCGTGTATTGCCTGTATGTAGGTAAGTGCACCCGTGTCATGCAATGCCCGTGGAAGACAGAAGAGGCCATCAGCCCCTTGGCTTTCTTTCTTTTTTTTAAATTATTTTTATTTTACGTGTACAAGTGTATTGCCTACATGCATGTGAGTGCACCCATGTTGTGCAATGCCGCAGAGGTCAGAAGAGGGCTTTGGATTCCCCTGGAACTGCAGTTAAGGATGGTTCGTAGCTGCCATGTGGGTGCTGGGAATTGCACCCGGGTCCTCTGCAAGAGCAGTCAGTGCTCTTAACCGCTGAGCCATCTCTCCAGTCCCTTGGTTTTGTTTCTTTTTTTTGTTTTTGTTTTTTGTTTTTGTTTTTGTCTTTTTGAGACAGGGTGGCCCTGTAGCCCCAGCTGGCCTGGAACTCACTACGTAGATCAGGCTGGCCTCGAACTCACAGAGATCTGCCTGCCTCTGCTTCCCTGATATTAAAAGCATGTGCCACCACGCCAGGCTTGGTTTTGTTTCTTAATCCATTCTGTAAGTCTATGTCTTTTAACTGGGAAGTTCAGTCCATTGATAGTTAAAGTTATTAATGAAAGATGTCATTTTTATTTCTGTTCACATTCTTGGTATAGCTGTGCGTTTCCATAGTTATACCTTCATTCAGTTTCTTTCCGTAACCCCTTGGGTATAGTTGTTCCTTTCTTCTGCTCTTTGTATCCTTTCAAGAACTCTTTGAAGGGCTGGTTTTGTAGACATGGATTCTTTTAGCCTGTTTATATCATGGAAGATTTTTCTTTCTCTTCGACTATAATAGACATTTTGGCTGGGTAACGTAATCTGGGTTGGCATCTGTGGTCATTTAGAACTGGGAATGCTTTGGTACGGGCTCTTCTGCCTTTCATGGTTTGCACTGAAAAGCCAGCTGTAATTCTGATGGGTTTTCCTTTATATATGACTTGATTTTTCTTTTGCTTTCAGTATTGTCTCTTTGTTCTGTACATTTAGTGTTTTTACTATGATGTGCCATGGAAAGTTTCTTTTCTGGTCCTGTCTGTTTGGTCTTCTATATGCTTCTTGTATTTGTATGGGCATGTCTTTCTTTAATTTTGGGAAATTTTCTTCCATGATTCTGTTGAAGATCTGGTCCATGCCATTATCTTGGGATTCTTCTCCTTCCTGTATGCCTATGATTCGTAATTTTGGTCTTTTTATGGTGTCACACAATTCCTGCATATTCCATTCTTGTGCTTTCTTAAATTTTTCATAATCTTTGCTTGAGTGGCCTAGTTCGTCCACTTTTTCTTCCAGTCTTGATACTCTGTTTTCCATTTTATTCATCCTATTGGTGAGGCTTTCTCCTGTCGTTTCTAATTGGCTTACTGAGTGTTTCACTTCCTTCTTTATTGAAGCCTGAGTATTCTTCAATATTTCTAATTCTTTCCTGAATTCATTCAGAAGTTTATCCCTATCTTCCTTCGTTCTTTGATTTCTGTGTTCTTTAATTCAGTGAATTCTTTTATCATGTTTATAGTTCTTTTGAATTCCATGTCCTGCATGATCTCTAGAGGGTTCTCACTGTACTCATTTACAGGACTGTTGGTACTTGGTGGGGATATATTATTTTGGTTTTTCATGTTATTTTTCTCTGTGACTTTGACATGTGGATTTCTTTTGTAGTTTCTGATTCTTGTGTGAGACTCAAGCCTTCCTTCGTTGAGTTTAGGTCTGCTTCTTTTTGTAAACTTAATGTGCCTTTGTGGTTTACTTGTTGGGCATGAAAAGCTGGCTGGTTTAGGCTTCAGGTGCTCTCTTTTGATTTTACATTGGAGGGCCCAAATTGCTTTTGTCTTGCTACTCAGTAGTTCCCACAGAGGCCCCAGTTGGATGAGGATCAGATGCTCTTAGGCTTTCTCCTAAGGTCTGGATCCCTCCAGGAAAGATGCTGGCCCCAGGAAGCTAGGGGTTTGGGCCACCCAGGTATGCAAAGGGAGGTGGGGGCAGGAAGTGGCCCTGAGGGCTCCTAGGGACTAGAGGGAAGAATTGGGGTCTGGATGCAAAGGATAAGGAAGCAGTGGGGAGTCTGGGCCCAGAGGTCAGTCCAGAGGTCTGGGTGTCAAGACAAGAAATGGTCCAGTGCCCAGGCTAGGAGGAGAGATGGCATGGGGGAGCTGGGAGGGTGAATGAGGCTGGGTGAGTCAAGGCACAGTGGGCACCGCAGAACATACCCAGGAAAGATACTGGCCCCAGGAAACTGGTGGCTAGGCTGCCCAGGGATGCAAAAGCCTGGTAACTCATTTTTAACGTTCAAATTCTTGACTGAGTCAGTGAGAGCTCCTTGACATTGTCTTTTGTATCTTTTTCACAGGTCCCATCATTAATTGTGTGCTTCCTCACTTTCTGGGATACACACATGCACACTCACGCATTCCTGGCTCACTGTGTGTTTTTCCTGCCAAAGCCTTAGAATCACACTCCATGGAATTGTTTCTTATTGATGGTTGATAGCTTAGAGAACAAGATCTGTTTCCTTGGTTTGCTCAGAGTGGGGTGGTGTCATTACCCTTAGGCCCTTTCAGGGGGAAAAGAAAAGCTAAGAAAATATCTATACATGTTGTTAGAAACCACTTTTAATGTACAGAGCTTTCATTGCAGGCAGTTATGTAACAAAAATCCCCAAATGTTATAATCAGTGAGAAAAGTAAACCTTTATTCTCTTTGTCTACCCCAGGTATGTGCAACCCTCGAAATTACAGTGACACCCCTCCCACTTCAAAGAGCACGGTGGAGGAGCTGCATGAGCCTATCCCTTCCCTCTTCAGAGCACTCACTGAAGGAGATACCCAATTGAATTGGAACATTGTTTCCTTCCCTGTTGCGGAAGAACTTTCACATCATGAGAATCTGGTTTCATTTTTAGAAACTGTGAACCAGCCACACCACCAAAATGTGTCTGTTCCCAGCAATAATGTTCACGCACCTTATTCCAGTGACAAAGGTACCTGCCAAAGTTGACTCTTTCTGTTCACTCTCTTTGTGGTCTGCTCCTGCGATTTGTGAAACCTACATTAGCGTCATCTTTTGGAGCAGCTTTTTGTTGGGGATTTGTATAGTCTTAGGTAGATTCTGGATGAGGAGGCATGTCGGCATATTAGCAAAACTCCTACATATTCTTGACAGTAGAGGCTTTATTGGAAGATAAGTAACTAATTCTGTTATTTATCTGAATTAGGCTTGAACTAGTCTCTTGAAAACATGGCATCGGCTTGTTTCCCATTATATTATTGCTTGGTGTTAGGTACCAGTCACATTGCCTCATGAGGTCATCTATGCTGCAAATGGTGCCAAGGTCATCAGCTCATTTAAAAAAATTTTAATTCGGGGCTGGAGGGATGGCTCAGCAGTTAAGAACACTGGTTGTTCTTACAGGAGACCCAGGTTCGAATCCCAACACCCACATGGCAGCTAACAACTATCTGTAACTACAGTCTCAGGGGATCCGACAGCCTCTTCTGACCTCCTTGGGCATTGCACAACACGGGTGCACTTACCTACATGCAGGCAATACACACATACATATAAAATAAATAAATAAATAAATAAAATTTAAAAAAAAATTTAATTCTATTTATTATTGTTGTGTGTCTGAGTCTAGGCACATGCACCATCACATTTGTGGAGGCCAGAGGACAATTTTCAGGAGTCAGTTCTGCCCCTCCAATATGGGTTCTGGGGCTTGAACTTGGGTTGTTAGGACTACGTGGCAAGCGCTTTTACCCTCTGAGCCATCTCACCCATCAACTAGAATGTTTTATGAGCAAATTGATATTACAAACATCTCACTTCCAGGTATAAACTATCCCCAGCCTGTTCTCTATGGAAACTGCTGCTGATCACAGAAGAAACAAATAAGACAATGATTTCTACAAATCTGAGAAACATAGCAAACAACACTGTTTAATGAGAATAGGTTATAGCATAATTTTGCAGTATAAAGGGCATATAAGTTTATAAAGTCTTTGATGTTTTCTGATAAAAGGTACCACAGTTTTACTGTAGAAGAATATGGCATTTGTGATTATTGTAATTACATGGTTTTTGTTTTGGTTTTAGTTATTTTATGTGTATGTGTCTTACCTGAATGTATGTAAGTGCACTGCATGTGTGTAATGCCTGGAAGTCAGAAGAGGGCATTAGAGCCCATGGAGCTGGAGTTACAGACTGTTGTCAGCTGCCATGTGGGCACTGGAAAGCAAACCCATGGCTTCTGCAAGAACAGTCTGTGCTCTTAACTGCTGAGCCATTTCTCTGGCCCCTGGGTTTAGTTTTTGGAGACAGGGTCTTGCTATGTAGACCAGGCTGGCCTTGAACTCACAGAGATCCACCTGCCTCTGCCTCCCAAGTGCTGGGACTATAAGCGTGTGCCACCACCCCCGGCTTGAATTCCTTTTTAAAAATTTAGCTATTTATTCTGTCCTCCATTATAATCCAGTTTATATTAAATAGAACTCTGCATGTTAACAATAAAGGCAAAGCAACTTGCTAAATGACAGTACAAATTATTACCTCCTTTCAGGTTAAATTGCTTTACAAATCAAATTCTAGGTTTTGGAAAAAAATCAGAAATATATGGGATGTTATAAAATGTTTGGCTACTGTTTCCCCATTATTAAAATGTAAAGAACATTGTAGCCATATACTGATTCATAAATTTTGTTCAAAGGTCTCTGAAATTCATGACAGTATTAGCTGGAAGCCAATTTCCAGAAACATAAGACAGAGCTAAGTTTTTCCTCCCTGACTCTGTCCTTAGGTATCTCTTCCCCAGATACTCAGTAGCTCCCCCTCCCCTGGCATTTGCAGCTCTGCTGTTTATTTTTAACTGCCTTAACTACCTTTTTCTTCCCAGTTCCATGGAGTCTCTGATTACTCTTTGAGTCTAATGGCTATCCTGTGATAAGTCTTCAATAACTATATGTTGACTGAACAGGTGAAATCAATTTAGCAGGTCTAGTCACTTGGGAGACTTGAGTTCTATTTGCTGCTCACTACCAGCCCTTCTGGTTTGACTGCTCTGCTGATTACCACTTCCCAGGTTTCCTTTCCTAATGTCTTTTTCTCCAATTTTTTTTTTTTTTTTTTTTTTTTTTTTTTTTTTTTGTCCTTTTTGAGACAGGGTCTCCCTGTAGCCCCAGCTGTTCTGGAACTCACTACAGACCAGGCTGGCCTCAAACTCACAAAGATCCACCTGCCTCGCCTCCCAAGTGCTGGGATTAAAGGTGTGCACCACCATGTCCAGCTTATTATTTTTATTTTATGTATATGAGCGTATTGCCTGCATGTGTGTAAGTACACCCGTGTCATGCAGTGCCCCATGGAGGTCAGAAGAGGGTGTTGGATTTCCTGGAACTGGAGTTATGGACAGTTATTACCCTGCCATGTGGGTGCTGGGAATCAAACCTGGGTCCTCTGCAGGAGCAGTCAGTGCTCTTAGAACCACTGAACCATCTCTCCAGCCCCTCATTTCTTAAATAAAAAAATTATTTACTATTACTATATCTGTGTGATAGGAAGAGATGTGCATACATGCTACTGCACACTTGTGGACGTCAGAAGACAGCATTTTGGGGTCAGCTCTTTCCTTCCACCTTAAGGTGGGTTGAAAGAATCTTAATTCAGGACATCAGGTTTACACAGGCAAGTGCTTCAATCACTGAGCCATCTTGCCAGCCTTGTTTGTTTGTTTGTTTAGACAGTTTTGCTGTGTAGCCTAGGCTAACTTTGAATGTACTGTGTTACCCAGATTAGCCTTGAACTCACACTCCTCCAGCAACAACAAAACTGTAAAACAAACCAACAAAAAACCTTTACTCTTTGATCATATACTCTGTTAGTAATTTTTATTGTCTTGTGTTTATTTCATGTATCTTATATTTTACCTAGGTAGTCACATTGGATTAACTACCAAGAGAGTTAAAAACTGAATCAATCTAAAGTGACTGTCTTGTCAGAAAGTGGAACTAGAAATTCTTAATATCTTCTGTTGGCTAATGTGTGTTGCTAATCATTTTGCATTATTTTAATCACTTGCTTTATTACAGATTCTCAATATAACCTTAAAACAGTGTTTTTCAAACTTCTTTGAGCTGGAGAATTCCTCTTTAGAGAAATGCTCAATTTAAAAAAACAGCTATAGCAACATAGTTAGCAAATGAAGATCCTTTTTTCCTAGTCCTCACCTTTGTCCTGAGCTGACCAATAAGGGAACTAAGACAAATAACTGTTACTAATATTCAACTGAGTGGTAGAACTCTTTCTGTTTTTCTGCTTTCTTGTATTGAAATCTTAATTTTTTTATTTTTCAGAGCACATGTGTACTGTGGTTTATTTTGATGACTGCATGTCCATACATCAGTGTAAAATATCCTGTGAGTCCATGGGAGCATCCAAATATCGCTGGTTCCATAATGCCTGCTGCGAGTGCATTGGTCCAGAATGTATTGACTATGGTAGTAAAACTGTCAAATGTATGAATTGCATGTTTTAAAGAATGAAAAGAAATGCAAGCCAAAGCAAAATAGGATGACATGAAAAGTTATTCCGTGAGTCCACTGGCTGCTGCCAATAAGTTATGACTTGTGAAGAATTCATAATGATTTAAAGTAAGGCATATCTAGGAGTGTGTTAAATTATATTACTATAACTGTGCTTACTGAGTTTACTGCCTATTAGCAGTATGTCTTTTTCCTTTGGAGACATGTAGAACTTTGATCATATAAGAAGCAGGTGTACAGAGGATTCCTGGAAAGATCTGTTTTTTGACACAAAGCCTGGTGCTGTTTTCATCCAGCCTTACAAAAGCTTTTTGTTTTGAAGTGATAGTAGAAGGCTGTTAGCGTGAGTTCTGGTTTCTTCACCTGCTAACCCTAGGGCAGCAAGTCTTTATAGTTGTATGCAGTTCTTCACTGTACCTTATATTATTTATCTGTTTTGTATAAATAGAGTAAATATTTAAATATATCACTCTGAAAACTCGCATACAGATCACTATGGAAAGCTTAATTTCAAACCATTTTACATTGGTTTTAGAAAGTAAATGTGTTTCGCTAGGCATGTTAGCACACACCTTTAATCCCAACATTTCGTAGGTAGGCAGAGGCAGCAGATCTCTGAAATCAAGGCCAGCTTGGTTTACATAGTGAGTTCCAGGCCAACTGGGACTCCACAGAGACCCTGTCTCAAAGAAAGGAAAAAAGAAAAAGAAAAGTAAATGTTTACTATATTCTACAATAATAATTTTTTTTAAACCCCTCTTACATAGGACTAGTGAGATGGCTCACTGAATAAAGACACTTGCCAATTCCCACAACTCATTTAGTCAAAGGAGAGAACCAACCCCTGCATGTTGTTCTCTGGCCTTCAGACATGCACAGTGGCATGGATACACATGTACACATGTGCACACACAAACACAATAATAATTAAATAAAAAATTTTAAAACTCTTACATAGTAAAATCCATCCTATAATGTACATGCTGACACTGCTCTAGGAAAAGTTTCTCATTCTCTTCCATTCCCCTGCCAAATTGCTGATGCATTGATGTGTAAGCAGTAGAGTCATCTCTACCAAGAATTTCAGGATGCACCCTTGAAACTGCATTGAATGCACAATGAAGGTATGAGTATGGAAATTGAAAGTAAAAACATTTGCTTGAGGGTTGGAAATTGACTGCTACATCAGACTCCACACAGCATCAAGGCTGGGGATACATGGCCAGGTCAGTGTTCTACACAGCACTAAGGCTGGGGACACATGGCCAGATCAGACTCCACACAGCACCATAGCCAGGCACTGAATGCCAGATCAGACTCCACACAGCACCATGGCCAGGCACTGAATGCCAGATCAGACTCCACACAGCACCATGGCCAGGCACTGAATGCCAGATCAGACTCCACACAGCACCATGGCCAGGCACTGAATGCCAGATCAGACTCCACACAGACCAGGGAAGCACTATAGTTGATTGTGAGGCTGCACCAAAAGGGATCAGCTCAGCATTAGCAAGACAGAGCCAGGTTCTTGAGCAAATGTGTGATTTTGGAGGGGTTTGAAGAAAAGAATTTATGGGTATGAACAGGGAAGGGGGAAATGCTGGGAACACTTAATGGGATCAAATTTAAGACCATTTATGTTCGTTATTTTTGTTACTTTGTAATCCTTTATTTGTTAAATTTTTATCTGAACCTAATGTTCTTATTAAATAAGCATCATATTGTGGGAGGCTAGGTTTCTGAAATGAAAAAAAAAAATCGGTTCAAGATGACGTTCACGCCTAACACTACAGAATTATCTAGTTAACTTCTTATGTAGTGTTTCAATAGAGATGATCTTAAATATTATGTACCCTTCATAGTAATAAAATCCCCACCTTCAAGCATGAAGCATATATCTAAAATATTTGTAGTTCACAGACTCAGTTTTATAAAATTTCTAATTTCTCTAATGCACATTTGAATTAAAAAGTAACTTTTTAGGAACACCTCTTTATATGTCTACATATTTTAGTCTGCAAAATAAATAATGCTCTTAAATATATTTTGTATTATCTGATCAGTAGTTACAGGACCATTTGTGATATTACAGTTTTCTGTTATAAAATTTAAAGCCTTGATACTGTTCTTGCTCTTTCAGCTAACTAGTGACTATTCAAGGCACTTTAGCCTTTTAAGAAACTGAGTTAGTTCAAGGATGTATTTGGTAGTTATGCACTGAGGTGACCTTTCTTACTTTACATAGAGTGCCTCTCTTTAAATGTGCCTTGAAAACATTTTATGCCTTCTTTAGCTCCTATATAGCTAAGGGTTTTCTTGAACCTAGGGGGTTTTAAAGGAACCTGCAGCTAGCTGCTTCATTTCAACTTCGTTAATTTTTAAGAAATATCATGCTTATGAATAGAAGAATGCTATTGTTTATTGGCAGTATGCCTCATGTTTTCTTAATGATGACCACAAACATTTTAAAACTATATTCAGCATCTTTTTTTTTTTTTTTTTTTTTTTTTTTTTTTTTTTTAATAGGGTCTCCCTGTAGCCCCAGCTGGCCTGGAACTATGTAGACCATGCTAGCCTCGATCTCACAGAGATCTGCTGTCTCTGCCTCCTGAGTGCTGGGATTAAAGGCATGTGCCACCACACCCAGCATTCATTATGTTTTTTAAACCTTTCATTATTAAACTTTAAAATGTAGTATTGCTTTTTACCCCACATGTTTCTCTGTGGGAAATCTTAAACCATTTCCTTTAACTGATTTTTATTACTCTGTTTTTCCCATTAAAAATTATCCCCACTGGTATAATTTTTATATTCAATTTTTGTTATTTCTTCTGGTTTACCAAGGCCTTGAGGAATGGCAGTATTTATCTGAAAGATTTGATTTTCAGAGTAGGCATGGTAATACACTTGTAGTTTTACCACTTGAGAGACTGAGGCAAGAGGATCCTCAGGTTCAAGACCAGCCTGGGTGACATAGCAAGACACTGTCTCAAAGCAACTTTTTTTTTTTCTATTTCTAGTTTTATTTTCAAAGTTTTGAGTAACGTTTCTAAATTGAAAGCATTTGAGAAGCCAGTAGCTTCACTGAAATGAGTCCCTCTGTACTATTCTAGCCTAGTCACTCCTGGTGAAACTTTTGTAAAAGTTCATTTTTCTATTTCAGTCAAAATGATGTTGTCTTTATTATAGCCAGTTCAAAAACACTCGATTTTAAAGGATGAGGGTGTAGCTCAGGAGTATAGCACTTGCTTAATGTGTGTGAGGCCCTGGGTTTCATCCTGAGTATCATCGAGGAGAAAAAAAAACAACTAGCTTTTTAAATCAAATTTTAGTAAAATTAAATACATATGTATGTGTAATATCCTTTCCAATAGCAAGACATGTGCTTGCTAACAGACGTTTCTCTTGTGCCCCCCCCCAACATTTAATTATTAATGTAACTATATTGATACTTATGGTACCAAAGCAAATGGTAATACAAGTAAAACTTAGTGTTTATTTACATAGGATGCTATGAAAAAGGTCTTCACATAGAAATATAACTTCTAAAGTTTTAGAAAACAAAATTGTTGTTAGTATGCTTGAACAAATATTTATAAATCAAAAAAAGCATCAGCCTGGAGAAAAGAAGCTAAAACTTCTGAAAAATAAGGTACTCATTAATTAGCCACGTTTGTAAGTTTATACTTATGAAAGCTTCTTTGAAGACTTTCAGTTCCTTTTTGCAGTCCCAAAAATATGTTTATTGCATATTACATGCTTGACAGCATAATAGGGTTGTGTATTTTTTCTTTGATTGTCCCTATAATAAAAAAGTATTTTAATAAAAAAATTGAAAGGAATGTGAATCATGTTTTTATTAATTTCAGCAAAGAACACCAAAATACATTTCTGTCCAGTGAATTTCATGTTCTAAGGATCAGCAAAGCAGTCCACTTTTCTCGGTGGACATCCTACAGATTCTGTTGGAAGACAGATTTGAAGTCTGCCCTCTGCTGTGTCTCTGCTTTATTCCAGCATGGGCACTTGTGAAGCATCCCTCACCGTTCTGCTTCTGCAGACCTCATGATGCCAGCCAGCTTTACAAGAATGATCCATCAGGCGTGCCCAGCCTGCAGGCTGTGGGCCACACGCATCCCAGGACAGCTATCAATGCAGCCCAGAACATTGTAGGTGACTGTCATAATGTAATGTCCAGAGGCTGGACAACCTTGATGGTAGGCATTGGAAAGAGGAAAGAGGTATAGGAAAGAGACTTTGCTAAGTCTCCCCCAGCAGTGCTCACAGGCCAACACTGTTAAGTCTTGGGAGTGAGAGGCTGTGCTGTCTAGTAAATGCCAGTTTACAGAATCGTGTTATGATAGCTTGTGCAGGGGGCCTGGACCAGGGGTAAAAGAGGATGTCTGAGTACTGAGGAGAGAAGATGGAGCTGAGGAACTCGGGAGCTACAGAGAGTTTCAAGGAAAGACAGAATATTTGTTAGGAAAGTTGTTCAAGTGGCAGCTAGTCATATAGAGAGTTTAGGAGAGGATAGAGCTGAGATGCAGAGTCAGAGGCCATGCCTGAAAGTCTGATGCTTAGGCACTCAGGTGACGGCAGTACTAAGGCACACCTGCCCCAGCCAGCAGCCTTTTAAAGAGCCAGGCATGGTGGTGCATGCCTTTAGTCCCAGCACTCAGGAGGCAGAGGCAGTCAGATCTCTGTGAGATTGAGGCCAGCCTGGTCTACATAGTGAGTTCCAGGACAGCTGGAGACCCTCTCTAAATAAATGAATAAATAATAGTATCTTTTCTTTTTAATTGGTACATAGTAATTATACATATTTGTGGGGCATAGTGTAATATTTTAGTACATATATACACTGTATAACAATCACATCAGGGTAACTAGATCTGTCATCTTAGACGTTTACATTGAGAACATTAAAAAGTTCTCTCTACTAGCTATTTTAAAATATTTTTCTAATTCTTGCCCTCCTGGTTTTCCTGCTATGCTGCAGACATCAGAAATTTGCTCATCTGCCTGCACGCCAGCATGCATTGCCCATCCTCTCTCATGCCCTCCCACCCCCCACACTTTCCCAGCCTTTGGTAACTACTGCTCTGCTCTCCACACAGACTTCCACATGCGGGAACATGTAGTGCTTGTCTTTCTCTGCCTGACTTACATAGTTTAGCATGGTGTCCCTGGGCACATCCATATTGTGCAGAATTTCATTCTTTCTATGCCTGAGTAACGATATATGTACCACCTTTTTCTGTATCCTGTGAATGGGTATAGAAAGGGTGGTACATACACCACCTTTGGAGTTGGTAAGCCTGGAAGTCACCTCTGTTACCTTGGGGTCTTAGGAATTTGGGATCTTTGACATTTTAGGGGTTTTTTTTCCCCCTAACTAATAAAAGGCACATTCATTTGACCTCATGGCAGGAGGCTATTGCTTTGGGCTAAGCTCCTTCAAGGACAAACAGATCAAAATTGGATCACACTACATGTCCCAGAAGCAATGCCCATGACCAGTTTTTCTTGAAAAACAAGACTCCAGTCTGCCTGAGCATAGGAAAGTCCTTCAGCTTTAATCTTTACCAACAGAAAAAAACCCAATAAACAGAAATACTAGATCATAACCAAGTTTGATTTTTGTTTTTGTTTTTTTTTTAGTCCATTTCCTTATTCTTAATTTATAAAACCCACTGTTCTGCTATTGTCCAATGAGAATTCTCTTTGCTTTGTAGAGGTTACCCTGATTGATAAATCTCAAGTAAAAGCCAGTTAATTAGACCTGTGACTCAACTTGTTATAATAATCATCTTTTGACTCTTTGACTCTTAATGATTTTTTTTTCTTTTGTTTCGAGACAGTCTCACTTTATTGCTTAGGCTTATCTTGAATTCCTGGGTGCAAATGACCTTCCTGTCTCAACTTCCCTGAGTCCCTGGGACCACAGGCATGTATGATCCCAATCCCTTTTGTTTTAAAGTCAGTACCTCAAGTGTGGAGTCAGGTTCAGCTTTTTGAAAAGGAGAGGTCTCAGTACAGAAGCAGAAAGAGACCCTCCACCCACCCCACTACACACACACAGAGGGAATGTGACCTGCCCACCTTTCTTATTTTGTGCTACAACTAGCTCTGTCTGACACACCTCTACAGGTAGTACCTGCTCCCAGCTCCAGCAAATAAGACCTTTATACTGCCTGGCCTCAGAGAGGCTTGAGTTACCCTGTGGGAACTCAGCAGTGGTAGATGCCTTTTGTCTTCCAGAAGCTTTTCCTGCTCCAGGTATTCTGCTGGATCAAGGAGTGAGAGCCAGAAGCTGGATGGAGGCCACATCTCAATGGCCCACACCCCAACAGGCTCCACATGTTCCCTAGAGGAGGATACAGCTCTGGCACTGATCTTGGGCTCACAAGGAGGCCATTCCTTAGCTGCAGTTGCTCTTTTCTGTGGGGAGTTCCCACCTGAAAATAGAGGTCCAGCCAGTGATCCTGGTCCAAGGTCCTGCACTCCTGTTACCAGGATTCTGTGGATCCCAAAATGAGTGACAGAGGCTTCTGGCTCCAGAGGGGATGGGGCTTGGTCAGATTTGATTGAGGAAAACAGCAAGATGGGATGTGCAGCCCTGGGTTTGCAGAGTGGCATCTATGTCCCCAGGGTCCCTGTCCCACATCACTTCTCCCTTTCCATATCCGGCATTGGTGGTGGTGTTCCCCAGGTTCTGCTTGTTTTCCTTCTGATGGGTCAGGTTTTCACAGAGACTGTGTTCTTGCTCAAATTCAGGTCTCACCTCAAATACCACCTCTTTAGAGAGGTCTTCTCTGACCGCTATATAAGCACCCTCCTGTGCCCCCCTTCCCATTCCCCTGCTTTATTTCTTTCATACCTGATTTCTCCCCAAAGGTAACCTCAGTACTCATCATCTCTTCTAGACTGTGAGGCCCGTGCAGACAGGACCACTATGATGTGAATGTAGTGTAAGTGTACCACCCATAGCGCTTGTTTTGGAAGCTTGGCCCCAGTGTGGCAGGGCTGGGAGGTGGTAGAACTCCTAGAAGTTGGAGCCTAGTGGGAGCTAATTAGGCCACAGGCACCCTTTCTCATTACCATAACAGAATACCTAGCAAACAGTTTGAGAGAGGAAGGACTTATTTTGCTTGTGAGAGTAATTCAGTCTATTGTGATGGGGAAGACACGTGGCTGCAGGAGGGTAAGGTGGATGGTTTCATCCCATCCAGTCAGGAGGCAGAAGCCTCAAGCCCCACCCTTACAACCCTGTGTCTACCAGTGAGGCTGTATGTCTAGAAGGTTCCACAACCTCCCTGAACAGCACCAGGAGCCTGTGGGAGACAGTCAACATCCAAACCTCAGCATGCCCCTCCCTCTCAAGTGGATTAGTACTCTCAGGAATTACAGCTCTCATAGGACTGTATTGGAACCTCAAAGTGAGTTGTTACAAAGTGAGGCCCCTCTGTGTACTGTTCCATTTTGCACAGAGTCAACTTGTTCCCTTTCTGTTTATTTCATCCCAG